ATTGGTTGTGATGTTTTAGTGTTTCCTTACTCATCCATCTACAAATACTTTCCTCACCAGCCATCTAACTCTTACTGGAACTGTGTGAAAAGATGACTGTGAAATCACCCAATGGGTTATAAAGTTGAAGCCTACGCAGGGCTTACCTGAGCACAACCCTCTTTCAGTGGAGAAGGTTGGAGTTTTGTGTCTATTCTCTGGTGTTGAGGTTAAGAAAATGTTAAGCAAGTTGAATAGTTAAGCTATCAACTGATGCAATTCATTATTACTTTCCCTCTTCTAAAAATATAGCTTATAGCCATGGGGCTTTCTCTTTTACTTAAGGTTGCCCAGTTCTGTCCCATAGAATCATTCCATCTATTTTCCTTACCATCCACTACTTTTAAATAGAAAGATGGATAATAGTAATAGCTATTGGTAGTTTCAATGTGCCAGGCACTTTCCGTTCCAGGTGCTTTACATGCATGAATTTATTTAATCCTCACAACCCTATGAGATAGGCACTATTATACCCATTTTATAGATGAGAAAACTGAGGTGTACAGAAGGGTTAGATCTATGGTATCTTGATGTTTGACTTATTCATACCATCTCATTCTTCACATTCCCCAGCTTTGTTAGTTTTCTTTTGTTGTTGTTTTGTTATTTTTTGTTATTTTTCTACTGCTTTAAATTCTTTCTGCTGATGAAATAGCATTCGCAAATTACTATTTTTTTTAAAGTATATTTTATTGATTTTTTACAGAGAGGAGGGGAGAGGGACAGAGAGTTAGGAACATCGATGAGAGAGAAACATCGATCAGGTGCCTCCTGCACACCCCCTGCTGGGGACGTGCCCGCAACCAAGGTACATGCCCTTGACCAGAATCGAACCTGAGACCGTACAGTCCGCAGGCCAACGCTCTAATCCACTGAGCCAAACTGGTTAGGGCCACAAATTATTTTTTAATTTAAAGATGCCATACTCTTCAGTGAGTGAGTTCCACTGAATTTATCTTTTTTTCTTTTTCGCCTACAACAGTGTAGTGATAAGTTCTAAGGATATCATAGAAAAATGATTACACATGTTTCACTTCAGATATGTTAAGGTCATATTATCTGTGTACTTAAAACCATTTAGAAATATTTTTACAAAAAAGATTTACATGTAAGAAGTTTTGTTTTTTGCAATCACTTACGAACAAATTGAAACTGCTTATCTTTGCGTGTTTTATTTCCTTTTTTGTTCATGCTGTGAAAGTTATCTGTAATAATAGATAAAAGTTTAGTAAACAAGCAGTCAGAAATTATTCAATATATAGTATAATTTAACATTGCATACTTAGACATGGATATGTATTTAGACAAGAGTTTATCACACAATACTTATAATTATTTTATAACTGGATTGCTGTTTTAATGAATGCTCTTATTAAATCTAGTTATATTAACTATTTATGGCCTATTAGTACCATCTATACACACACTTATAGAATATTCTCATTGTCTTAATGCCAAAGAAAGTACAGACGGTTTCGTTCATTTCAAGTTTTGCTAATGTAATGTTATTTTTTTTGTTATATACTTATCACTTTTATATAAAATTAAAATTTTTGTAAAATCAGTCCCAATATCACTGTTTTGCTGATATTATTATAATAATAATAGATTTTATTTTAAACCTTGAGTAATGAACATACTCACAAATGCCTATTTTGGGTAATAAGTCTTATTGAAGACATATCTGGGTATTCTTATATAATGATTATTTCTTATAGCATTATACATTATTTTCAAACTATTAACATTTCAAAATATATTTGGTTTACTGGTAGAAGATTAACACTATTTGTAATGTAGCTAGACTATGTCTTCAATAAGACTTATTACCCAAAATAGGCATTTATGAATGTGTTCATTATTCAAGTTTTAAAATAAAATCTATTATAATAATGTCAGAAAAACAGTGATATTTTATATATATATATATTCAGACTAAAATGAGACTTTTGGCCTAGTCTTACACTTGGGAGATGACATGGTTTTGAAGAGTTGCAAGTTTTGAAGGATGGTTGTTGAAATACTAAGTAGAGAAAGAATGTAGAAAATAGGAAGTAGGCAACTCAGGACATGAATCTTTGTTATTTAGGAGAAGAAAATAGAGTTGAGCATCTGTGGAATAGATTTTGAAGCATTTAGAAGCATGCCTTTGTGTACATCTGTATATTAATGTATCTCTGTGCCCTAACACAGTGATTGATTATAGTCTCATTATACATACTCTACAATCGTTTTTTATTTGTTTCCTACTGGACAGTACTTGCCCTCTATATATTTCTGCTTTTATATATCCATCCAAGTGACTTGGATCCTGCTGGCCTTATATCTCTTTCTATTTATTGTTCTGAGATTTTGCCTTTGCAGCAGATGGCAGAACCCCATGTTGTTCCAATCCTATCCCTGCTCACTGTAACTTTGTACCTTTCTTATATTCTTGTCTTTTTCACTAACCACTTCAGTTTCTGCTTATGTCTTTTAATCCTGAAACACCTCTGTTCAAATGGTGATGTTGTTCTCAGGATAGGAACTTTTACAGTCAACAGTTACTATATTTTACTATGGTAAGGAAACACCCTAGCAATATATTTCCCCATCTTTAGTGCCACCTTTCATCCTCAGTAAACAAGCACCTTTTGAAAGTAATATCATTTAAGATGCATTTTATATTTAAATATAGTCAAAGTAGTTGAATGCATAATGAGGTTATAGTTTTGAACTAATCTGGAATCACTGTATAAGAAGTTGGAAAACGTCACTTACTATGCTTGTACAATATTATTTAAGTAGAACTATTCCTATAAAATGTGTGTTCATGTTCAGAGGAAACATCCCAAATTACAGAGGCCTTGCTTATCTTAGTTTACAATATGTAGAGCAAGTGATAACAGGGGTATTGAAAACATTTATACATATGTAAAAAGAAATATTTTTGGTTATTAAGTGCATGTAAGTGATAAAAACTTTAGCAACAATCAGAAAGATCTGATGTTTCATGGTTTAGCATCCTCCTTGAGATGAGGTAATTACAAAAAAAAAGTATTGGCAGAATTTTTTTTTTTTTCTTGACCATAATAAATCTTTTGAAAACACCCATAGTTAATAAAAATGATTTGTTAGTTAAGGTAGTAATGTAACTAAAATCTGTCAGTTACTTAGATTACCAAACAAGTAAGGTGTGTGATTTTCAACCAGGGCCACAAACTATACGAAATGTTTTGAGATGAAAATGTTAAAATTAATTAGCAACTCTAGTTAAAGTTTTTGTAACTCATCCTAAATCATAGCGATTGGATACTGAGGATTTGGTTATTTTTATTTGCTAGGGATAGGAATACTTGGCTTACTTTGTTTTTGGCTAGTCAATAAATTGAGATAAAATGCCTGGTAGGATTACAAACAAGTATACCTTTATCATTCTAGTTTGGGGGTGGGGTCAGATGATATTAGTATATTAATGTTCAAAATTTGTCTTACATGAGTGATCAAGTTGTGGAAAAAATTTATAGTTGTCCTTATGTAGTCATGTAAATTTGCCTGTTTTATCTTTATTGCTTAACTTCAGGCAGTTCTATTTCATTTACTCCATTAGTTTTTATCAAGTACTATATATTTGGCATTATTTTATACCCTTCAGGCATTGGAAATTACAAAGATTGGTAGTACATAGTCCCTAACTCCTAGAATCCTTTGCATGATTTCACTGTTCTGCCCCTAAAACATTCCTAGAACTAGATTTTTAATTTGTTGCCACCACAGTTTTTTGTTGTGTTTTTTAAAATCTCAATCCAAAGAATCTGGTAGGTGTTCTGCAAATGTTTGTTCATAGTATTTGAAGTTAATAATCACCTTTTTGAGTATAGTAAAAAATTTTCTTTTTATAAAATTTTGTCACAAAATGAATACAATTTAAAGGAGTCAGATCTTTTGTAAATCACTTTTAGTGGTTGCTTATGGTTTATATTTCTGTGCTTTTTAAATATGGGAGTATATTACAAGAGCTACATTAAATGTAGGCAAGAAGACAGGCACAGAAATAAAGCAGTTCTTTGGGTGCTGTAGTCTTCCATGATTGTGCTAATAGATTTTGACAACTTGTATTTGACTATCATAGTTTTATCTCAAGTAGTCAAGTAGTATTAATTTAGATGCCACATCTGAATCAGTAAATGTAGAAAAACAAACTTGATTTCTGAAAATATTCCAATTATTTAAACCTACCAATCCAAACATCTCTTTCTTTTTTTATGTATATATATATTTGTATTGATTTCAGGGAGAGGGAGAGGGAGAGAAAGCTAGAAATATCAATGATGAGAGAGAATCATTGATGGGCTGCCTCCTGCATGCCCCCCACTGGGGATCGAGTTTGCAACCTGGGTGTGTGCCCAACCAGGAATCAAACTGTGACTTCCTGGTCCATAGGTCGACGTTCAACCACTGAGCCACCACAGCCAGGCCAAACATATCTTTCTTGAACATTATTTACCTTAATAGAAAATTGAAATAAAGCTATTCTTAGCAGGTGATTGTTGAGAAGAAATTCTGAGTAATTATTGAGGAAGGTCATTGAGATAGGTCAGCTAGAGATGGACACGCAGCCTGCCTAATAATTGGATGGATGCTACCTGGCTGGAAGATGGAGCTGATTGGTGGATCAAAATCTCAGAGGGAAACCTTTTAATTTTTAGGTTAAATGTTTATTAAGAATTATATTCCATGAAGTACTATTGTATGCTGGTATTTAACTACTAAATAATGAAATGATCAATGATTATTACCCTGCCAAAAGATTGTTTTAAGTGATTTTTGGAATGTAAAATATATTTTGAGTGGTAGTAAAATTTACTTCTTTAAAATATGAAATTTATAATATATCCAGAGTTAGAATATAACATATCTTATAAATAAGTTTGTTCTATTTTATGTGTTTATTTGCTGAAGCCATCTTTGTGTTTCTTCAGGTTTATGTGAGATTAAGGCCATTCTTCAGGGAATTCTTGGAACGAATGTCTCAGATGTATGAGGTAAACATGCATGAACTGAACAGCATAAATATTTTATTTTATTCAACATAGTACCCATATTTAGATCATGTATAATGATTACTTCTTTTCCCCTGAATTTATAGATCATTCTTTTTACTGCTTCTAAGAAGGTGTATGCAGACAAGTTACTGAACATACTAGACCCTAAAAAGCAACTGGTCAGGTAAATTTAATTAAGAAATAGTGGAAATGTCTGTCACACTGATCTATGAAATTACTATGATTATATTTAACTTTAATGGCCTTTTTAAGTTGGCTACATATATAGAGATTTGTCATGCTGAATGGTGAAAATAAATGAATTTTTTAAATGCCCAAACTCTTAAGAGTTCCTAATGCTATAATTCCAGACAGACGTTCTTTAAAAGGACACAAAGATCAAATGTATTTATTTATTGTTACATCTGTATCCTTACTTCTTTTGGGATTAGGGGAGGGAAGTAGGTGGAATTTTTCACTGTGTGCATGATGTTTTCATTTCCTTTATGTTGATATAATGCATGTGATGGCACCTTTTTAATGGCATAGAGAAATAAAAGTTAATTTTAACAGAAAGGATTAAATTAAACTCTCTTGCTTTTTTCAAGAGCAAATTTATCTTCCATGGAAAGAAAATGTTACATGAATCTAATTGGGAATTGCAGTTGGCTTAGTCATTCAGGTTATTCCCTGTGTGTGTGTCCTGAGCCAGCAGATGCAGTGTGTTCCTGGTTAGGTGGATTACCTTGGGTAATTTTAAAATAGTTTGAAAATTAGTTAAACTGAGATATTAAGACTAAAGCAGTCTTATTGCATCCTATAAAATATGGGAGTTAATCTTTGAGTTTTTGACCAAGAGCTGAGAGTGATGCCACAAAAGGCTTATAACAACCTTAATAGCTGGCTATTCATTTTCTTGAATGCTTTCTCCCATATTGTCTTAATGGAAAATTCTAAACTTATCTAAGGATTAAAATTTGTCCTTATAGTTAGTTTTATTTTTATCTTTAATATAAGCAAGCTTTAGACATACAAAATAGAAAATGTATTTTTTATTCATAAGAGTGTATTATAATTTATGCTCATTTTACCCAACTTCAACAGAAATATACAAATGATTTTGCTTTGATCATTCATTCTATTCAGTCCCTCCAGTGTTCCAGGGAATAGTGGTGAGCCACACAAGCCCTTCCCCTCTTGGAGCTTTCATTTTACTGGAGGACAAATTGTACTCATGCAATTATAATCTTACCCCTCTTTTAAATTAGTTTTCTAAAATATTCACATTTAAGAGTTTAAATTTATTTTATCTTGTTACAATTTGAAAACTTAAAACAGGAAAACCTGCCGTTACCGGTTTGGCTCAGTGGATAGAGCATCGGCCTGCGGACTGAAGGGTCCCAGGTTTGATTCCGGTCAAGGGCATGTACCTTGGCTGTGGGCACATCCCCAGTGGGGCGTGTGCAGGAGGCAGCTGATCCATGTTTCTCGCTCACAATGTTTCTAACTCTCTATCCCTCTCCCTTCCTCTCTGTAAAAAACCAATAAAATATATTAAAAAACAACAACAACAAACAAAAAAACAGGAAAACCTTTTTGAAGAATATATTGAATTCATTAGAGTGCTATAGAGAACTATCTATGTTGGTGACAAGGTAAACTCAGAAATTCCTATGATCTCTCAATCCCATGAGTCCAAATGCAAATTTGATGACTAGCAAAAAAATAAATAAAAATAACAAAAATATAGTTTCTTTCTAAAACTGCAAATGTATGCTATTGACTCTCGGATTTTTGAATACTGGAGAGGCTTCAGCTTAATTTAAAGTAACTGTTAGTATCCATATACATATTCAGTTGTCTCCTGACTTGGGTGAGCTTGCTGCTCGTGAAGAGAAAAGCATCGGTACTGACTTGCATGTACATGCTCTATCTGCCTCTCCAATTGCTTCATATCTAAGTGTTTATGCAAATAAAATTACTTAAATCCTTTTATTTAGTCTATTTTTTCAAAGTAGGACTGTCTTTAAGCCTTTTAGAGATAGATGATAATTTAATTAAAAGTATTTATAATGGGGAAAGAATTATTTATACTACATTTTGTCTGGTTGTAAAATTCTTAACTCTTTGCCATTACCACTGGAAGTGATTTTTTTTAAAAAAATTTTATTGATTAAGGTGTTACAAATGTGTCTTTATCCCCCATTATCCCCTCATCCCCCCCCCCCCCCCCCCCCCGTCTTGCCCTCACCTTCACCCCCTGCCTGCATCCGTCACTTGTGCTTATATGCATGCATACAAGTCCTTTGGTTGATCTCTCCCCCTTACCCCCACCCTCCCCTACCTTCCCTCTGAGATTTGAGCATCTGATCGATGCTTCTCTGTCTCTAGATCAGTTTTTGTTGTTCATTGGGAGTGATATTTTTAAGGTTGAGGTTTGTTTGGGGAGGTGGTGGTGTTAGAACTATGACAGATTTTGTTGGTAGAAATTGCCCTTTTCTTAAAATTGCATGATTAAAAATACAGGTATGAATGAGTACGCCTTAGCTATTGAAAAATTTTTTAGTGGAATTAAGACAGAAGGAAGCCCTAACGGGTTTGGTTCAGTGGATAGAGCATCGGCCTGCGGACTGAAAGGTCCCAGGTTCGATTCCAGTCAAGAGCATGTACCTTGGTTGCGTGCGGGCACATCCCCAGTAGGAGGTGTGCAGGAGGCAGCTGATTGATGTTTCTCTCTCATCAATGTTTCTAACTACCTCTCTCCCTTCCTCTCTGTAAAAAAATCAATAAAATATATATTAAAAAAAAGACACAAGGAAGCCAAACTATCAAATTATTATACAGGACTAATATTTTTTTAGTTCGGAATGAAGATTATATCATTATTACAGTACCTAAGTATTATAAAACCTTTAATAGCTTTGTTAAATTATACAGAATTTTTCAACTTAGCAGCTATCATTAGTGAAACATCAGTTTACATGTTATACTTAAATCTAAATTCGTTTCATTCAGTCTTTGTTTTTTCAAATGACATACATACACTAAATTGAAAAATGAGTGGGAAAAGTTGAAATGATGGAATGTTTTGACCACCTTTTCTCAAAAATTATAAGGGAAACTAAAAACACATTTTTTAAATGCCAACACAGAAACAGTCCTTCTTATATTTTCTATTCTGGCATGTACAGGGGTAGGGAGGCTTTGTGGTCTTCTGGTTAGAGCAAAGAACTGGGAGCCAGGAAGATTCTGGGTTCCAATGCGGGGCTAACCACTGACTTACTGTTTGACCTTGGGCAAGTCACCTGACCTCCTTGTTCCTCAGTCAACCATCTGGAAAATTGGTTTAAAAGCCAGGACCTTGCTGACAACCAGATGCTGCATCTGAACTGAGCTTTCTGGTTAAATAAATTACAAAAACAGTTTACAGAGTTTTTAATCCCACTTTATTTAATATAACATTTTAGGATAAACCATTTAAGACATGGTAATATTTGGTTGTAAGTTTTCAGTAATTGCTAAGAATTTTTATAGTAAAGCTATAGCCTGAAGCTTAGGCCCACATTTGTATATGAGTTTCCTTTGTGACAAAATAATAAGACGTAACGTGTAAAGCCTATGGTGTGTGTGTATATGTTTCAGTATATGTTATACTTTTTAGAGGCTGCTTTTTTTTTTTTTTTTTTTAATTTGTTTTTATTTTTATGTTTAGGCACCGACTTTTTCGTGAACATTGTGTTTGTGTACAAGGAAACTATATAAAGGACTTAAATATCCTTGGAAGAGATCTTTCAAAAACTATAATAATTGACAACTCACCACAAGCCTTTGCATATCAGGTAGGAAGAAGGTTGCTAAGCAAATTCAGAATGGAAAAAAAGTCACAATGAGGACAAATGCTGCCAAACAGTATGATGGGGGAACAGAATTTTCACTGGAGGAATTTCCCTGTTTAGTGTCACACTTATAATTAGAAATGCCAAATTGGCATACTCCTTGTGAAAAAGTTTATTTAAATTGAGTACAACATAGCCCTAGCTGGTTTGACTCAGTGGATAGAGCATCAGCCTGAGGACTGAAGGGTCCCAGGTTCAGTTCCGGTCAAGGGCACATGCCTGGGTTGTGGGCTTGATCCCCAGTAGGGGATGTGCAGGAGGCAGCTAATAAATGATTCTCTCTCATCATTGAAGTTTCTATCTCTCTTTCCCTCTCCCTTCCTCTCTGAAATCAATAAAGATATATTTTTTTAAAAGATAAAGTACAACAAATAAAAATCTGAATAGTAAATGTGAATAAGAAGGGACAACAAGATAAACATTTAATAATAGCATTCTTATGAGTTATTACATCAGTAATTATAAATATGTTTGAGAATTACAATAGCTTAACCATCTCCCTCTGGTCCATTTTTGACATTTTTTTGTATTTTCATGGACTATTTTATCAGTATATTTGTACCCTTTGTTAATGATTCTTTGAAATATAACTTTGACTAGAGACAAGCCACCCTTGCAAGATATATATTGTACATTATGAATGCCTTCATGTGATCCATTTGAGATTTCCTTCACAATCAATAGGTGCAGAATGGGGATGACGGAAGGTAGGTTGGGTATAGATAAAACAAGATTTGCCTTTAACTTGTGTTTTAAAATGTCCACTAAAGAAAAAGAAAGGTCAACTTCATACAGTTTTGAAATATGTTCAGTTTAGGTCACTACTTTTATTTGCTTGCATTTTGAAATGTTTTTAAGAATTTTTTCTTGGTGCCTAGATAAAATCATTTCAATTATCCTCAATCTCAAACAATCCTATATAATAAAGTGGTAATATTCAAATTGACTGTCATGCCCTCGCAAAAGATGGCCACTGCCCCGACGTGGTCACAAGAGGGTTGGCAGGGGAGAGCAGTTGTGTGCAATCAGGCCAGCAGGGGAGGGCAGTTGGGGGCAATCGGGCTGGCAGGGGAGGGCAGTTGGGGGCGACTGGGCTGGCAGGGGAGCAGTTAGTTGTTGATCAGGCTGGCAGGGGAGTGGTTAGAGGGTGATCAGGCTGGCAGGCAGAAACGGTTAGCAGGCAGGCAGGCAAGCAGTTGGGAGCCAGCAGTCTCAGATTGTGAGAGGGAAGTCCCTGTAGGATCGGGCCTAAACCACAGTCAGACATCCCCTGAGGGGTCCTAGATTAGAGAGGGTGCAGGTTGGGCTGAGGGACACCCTCCTCCCTCAGTGCATGAATTTTGTGCACCAGGCCTTTAGTGTTCTATATAAACTTTTAAAGACTTTTATCCCAGAGATTATCTATATATCCATAATAATAAAAGCCTAATATGCTAATTAGATCGGATGACCTTTCAGACAAAGCCAGGTCTGCGAGGGAAGCCCGGGTCCTGGGTGCCAGAGGGAAGCTGGTGCCGGCAGCTGGGGGAAAGGAAGGCCTACTCTTGCACGAATTTCGTGCATCAGCCTCTAGTCTATAATAATAAAAGCGTAATATGCTAATTAGACTGGATGTTCTTCCGTATGAAGCTGGGGCTGCAAGGGAAGCCCGGGTTCTGGGTGCCAGAGGGAAGCCAGTTTTGGCAGCCGGGGAGAGTAGGGCCTACTTTTGTACAAATTTCATGCATTGGGCCTCTAGTCTATATATATAAAAAGCCAGTGACCAGAAGGCTGTAAGGACCAGAACTACCAATCGCTATGACGTCCATTGTGTCCAGCAAACAGGCCTGATTGGGGGTCGGGCCAGCTGGCCAACTGCCTGCAGCCCCTCCCCCTGGCAGGCCCCGCCTCTGATGGGCCCCCACCACCCTGATTGGTTCACAGCCCCTCCCCCAGCCATCTCCACCCCCCATCCGCTCCCCACACTCCAATCAGGAGCAAGGCTGGCTGGCCAACCATCCATGGCCCCTCCCTCAGGTCGTTGGCCCCCGATCAGTCCCTGCCACCCCATTCGGGAGTGGGGCTGGCCAGAAAACAGCCCCTTTCCACAGCTGGCCCCACTACCCCAGTCGGCCCACGGCCTCTCCCCCCAGCCAGTTCTGCCCTCAATTGGCACCCCCCCACCCCAATCAGGGGCGGGGCCGGGCCTGCCAGACCCACCTGTGCATGAATTTGTGCACTGGGCCTCTAGCACATCTACATATATGATAGATGAATAGGCAGATTTGCCCGGTATGCTGTCATGTTACAGCTGTTCACGGGATGGGCGTGGCTGCAGGGCTGTGGGGTGTCACTTGGGGTCTAAGTGTGATTTCGTCCCGCCCAGGCAGACTCCCCCATGGCCGCAGACAAATCCCAACGCCAACCTGGGGTTTATTAACTTTACTGGAGCTGCTCCCCACACCCCTACTGACTGCCCCAAGACCCTGCTTTCCCCAGCAGGGTGCTCCGAGAGCCGAGTAGAGCAGGAGCTGCAGGGAGCCACGGATGGGCGGGGCCCCCAGAGCCAAGCTCCCAGGGGTCTGAGGAGAGCACTTGAAGGAAGAGGAAGCTTCGGCAAAGGGGCCAGCCAGGAGCCGCAGTCGGGGTCAGCAGGCGTGCGGACAGTCCTCTGCCTGAGGGGCGGCTCCTTGCCCAGGAGCCACATTGCCCAGCTTTAGCGAAGTGGCAGGCCAGAAGGCAGACGGCCCAAGGGGCACAGAGCAGCGCTGAGGAGGCGTGTACTGGAGCTGGCTTGGGCCATGGCAGGGTGCTGGTGGGCGGGGATCTGCCTTGCCTGCGAAGAGTGAGGTTCTGCAGTGGCCCCAAAACGCGGGAAACAGGCGATGACTGCTGGCGTGGAAGGACACCTGGGCAGAGAGGCGCGGAACCGCAGCCCTGAGGCGGGGGTTGAGGGGTGGTGTCACCTCAGTGGAGGGCGCCGCACTGCTGGGTACCCCACTGCAGCGGTTTGGCGAAGCTCAAAGCTCCCGGCGCTAACCAGGCCTCACCTTGGCCCTCGCACTTCTGCTCCTGCCTTGGCCCAAAAGCAAGCCTGTGCTCACCCTATCCCCAGTTCCCATCCCACCCCATGGGGGTGTGCGCCTGCACAGTGAGTGCGAAGCCTATCACCTGCTCCACAGAAGGGGGGGCAGTAATGAATGGGGGCGGGGGGCGGGGGAGAGGAAAGAATGTAGACATCCACGATGAAGAGGTGCTTAAGAACGAGTCTCTAAGTCAGTGGTTCTCAACCTTCTGGCCCTTTAAATACAGTTCCTCATGTTGTGACCCAACCATAAAATTATTTTCGTTGCTACTTCATGACTGTAATGTTGCTACTGTTATGAATCGTAATGTAAGTATCTGATATGCAGGATGGTCTTAGGCGACCCCTGTGAAAGGGTCATTCGACCACCAAAGGGATCGCGACCCACAGGTTGAGAACCACTGATCTAAGTCATTATCTCACGGGGAGGTTTGTACTGTTTGCCCTGGGGCTGTCCCTTAAGAAAGGCAGAGAGTGCAGTTGTGAGGGCTCCCTGCGAGCTAAGTACAGTTCCACACCCAACTGAAATTGGCCTCAGTTTCCTGGTGTGTAAAATGGATTAAGCGTGTACCAATGCCTTCGCTGAGCTTTGAGGGCCAATTGAAATACTATATAAAGAAAGTGAGTGAAGACGTGAGAAAGAAAAGGAAGGGCGAGCAACACGAAAGATTGGAAGGAACCTGTAAACCTGTTGTCCCTTAAATAGGGAATATCCTATCTAATAAAAGAGAAACATGGTAATTAGCATATGACCGCTACCCTTCCCATTGGCTAATCAGGGCGATATGCATATTAACTGCCAGCCAAGATGGCAGCCGGCAGCCAGGCAGCTTGAAACTAACATGAGGCTTGCTTGCTTCAGTGACGGAGGAAACCAACGTTCCCCGCCTGCCTTGCCGGCCTCTGAGCCTGCAGTTTGAAACATTGAAACAAATATAGAAGCTAAACAAAACCCCAGAAACCAGCTTTCATCGAGCTGGGATCTCAGAGCTGAAGTTATACATTGTTTCGATTATAGAACCGAAAAAAACCGGATACCTGCTTTCAGCAGCGGAGGCCTAAGAGCTGGAGTCAGAGCTAAAGCTGGCCCAGAATAAAAAAAAAAAAAAAAAAGAAAAAAAGGAGCAGTTGGGCGCTTCCGTCACCCGCCAGCCTGAAAACAGCCCTCAGCCCCTCACCCAGACTGGCCAGGCACCCCAGTGGGTACCCCCACCCTGAAGGGTGTGTGACCAGCTGCAAACAGCCATCATCCCCTCACCCAGGCTGGCCAGGCACCCCAGTGGGGACCCCCACCCTGATCCAGGACACCCTTCAGGGCAAACCAGCCAGCCCCACCCATGCACCAGGCCTCTATCCTATATAGTAAAAGGGTAATATGCCTCCCAGCACTGGGAACAGCGGAGCCGTGAGGCCTTCCAGCACTGGGATCAGCGTGACGGGGCAGCACCCAAACCCCCTGATCGCCCTGCGGCTCTGTGTGACAAGGGGCGGGACCACAACCTCCCTATCCGCCCTGCTCTGTTTGTGACAGGGAAAGGCGCCCCAACCTCCTGATCAGCCCTGCTCTGTGCCTGATACGGGGGAGCTCCCCAACCCCCTGATCACCCTACGGCTCTGTGTGTGACAGGGTGCGGTGCCCCAACCCCCCCGCCCCCCACGGGCCCTGCTCTGTGTGTGACAGGGTAGAGCCATAACCTCCCCATCGGCCCTGCCCTGAGTGTGACAGTGGTGGCGCCCCAACCCCCGATCCGCCCTACTCTGTGTGTGACGGGGCGGTGCCCCAACTCCCCTATCGGCCCTACTATGTGAGTGACAGCGGGGAGCTCCTCAACCCCCTGATGGGCCCTGCTCTGTGCATGTCAGGGGTGAGCTCCCCAACCCCCTGATCGACCCTGCTCTGTGCGTGACAGGGTACGGAGCCCCAACCCCCCTGATGAGCCCTGCTCTGTGCGTGACAGGGGCAGCGCCCCAACCCCCTGATTGGCCCTGCTCTGTGCGTGACGGGGTGGCGCCGCCACCTCCCCATCGACCCTGCCTTGAGTGTGACAGGGGGCGGTGCCCCAACCCCCCAATCAGCCCTACCCTGAGCGTGACTGAGGGTGGCATCGCAACCTCCCAATCCGCCCTGCTCTGTGCATGACAGGGGACAACCCCCCAACTCCCCAATCAGCCCTGCTCTGAGCCCGACCAGGGGCTGCACCTAGGGATTGGGCCTGCCCTCTGCCACCCGGGAGCAGGCCTAAGCCAGCAGGTCGTTATCTCCCAAGGGGTCCCAGACTGCGAGAGGGCACAGGCCGGGCTGAGGGACCCCCGTTGCCCCCCGAGTGCACAAATTTTTGTGCACCGGGCCTCTAGTAGTCAATAGTGTTGTACTGACAGTATGATGCCAGGTGGGTACTAGAAATATCTGGGAACACTTTGTAATGTATATGATTGTCTAACCACTATTCTGTAACTAATATAAAACCTGAAACTAATACAAAATAATATTGAATCTAAAGAAATGAAAATAGTGAAATTTTTATAAATTTCTAAGTTTAAATAAAGGCTGTAATGGAAGGAAGGGGGAGAATAAAAATAGTGGTTTTCATTTTACCACTTTATTGTCTTTTCAGTACATGAAAAAGACAGTTGTCTTTATATGGTGCTTTTATACTTTTCTAAGTTATTATCTCATTTGATGTTAAGGGCAACTTAAAGATAAGATAATTATTCCCTTCACTATTCAAAGAAAGGAAATCTTGTTGTCTGGCCCCAATGATTCAATCTTCAAGCCCTTATTGTAAAGCAGGGTTAGTGAAATTTTCTGTGAAGTGTCATATCTATACTAATAAAAGCCTTGGGGGTGATCAGGCCAGCAGGGGAGGGTAGTTGGGGGCGATCAGGTTGGCAGGCAGAAGCGGTTAGGGGCGCAATCGGGCAGGCACACAGGCAAGCAGTTATGAGCCAGTGGTCCCAGATTGTGAGGGGGTTGTCTGACTGCCGGTTTAGGCCCGATTTGGAATTGGGCCTAAACCGGCAGTAAGACATCCTGGGATCAGGCCTAAACCGACAGTCAGGCACCCCCCAAAGGGTCCGAGATTGGAGAGGGTGCAGGCTGGGCTGAGGGACACGTCCCTCCCCGCCCCCCAAATGCACCAATTTTGTGCACCGGGCCTCTATTGTGTGTGTGTGTGTGTGTGTGTGTGTGTGTGTGTGTGTGTGTGTGTGTGTGTGTAAAGCCTAATATGCAAATTGTCCCTCAGGAGTTCGACCTGGAGACAGGGAGTTCAGTTGCTTGCTATGACGTGCACTGACCACCAGCGTGTGGTGTGGAACGAAGGATGGCCCTGGCTAGCAGCCAGAAGGCCCTGATTGGCCCTGATTGCCAGTCAGGCCTAGGGACCCTACCCATGCACGAATTTCATGCACTAGGCCTCTAGTTTACTTATAAAACAAATAAGGTTTGCAGTCTTGTTTTTAGAGTCTTCAGTGAACTAGTTTTGAGTCAACTTATTATGTTCCTGTGTTTCAGATTACCCTGCTATTTGTTGGGAATAAAACAGTGAATGGGACATGGTCCCTGTGTAGAAGTATATGCTCTCTAATAGTATTCTTTGTTTAGACTGGCAGTACCCCTTCATTCACAGTACCTAGCATTGATTATAGGTAGCAAGAATTTTTACCTAGCAAGAATTAATAACTGATTCTTGAATGAGTAAAGAAATGTTTTTAGTTACGTTATGTTAATGCAAAACTTGTTAATGGATCTTTCTTGTTCAGTTTTATATACACTAAGAAGAAATTATGCTAAAAACCCAATTAGGCTTCAGGTTTTTTTCTTTTTTAGTTTTTTCAATCTACTGATTTGAGGGAGGGAGGGAGGGAGGGAGGGAGGAAGGAAGGGAGGGGAAGAGACAAACATCAATTTGTTGTTCTGCTTATTTATGCATTCATTGGTTGTTTCTTGCATGTGCCTTGTCTGGGTATCGAACCCACAACCTTGGCATGTCGGGAGGACACTCTAACCAATTGAGCTACCCTGGACAAGGCTGATTTCTTTTTTAAGCTTTTCCAAAGTAAGGAAAATGTAGGCAAAAAAGAGGATTTAATTACTTATTTATCATTTTAGCTATCTAATGGAATCCCTATAGAAAGCTGGTTTATGGATAAAAATGACAGTGAACTCCTAAAATTGATTCCATTTCTGGAGAAGCTTGTAGAACTGGTAAGTATGTCTTAATTATCTTTTTCAGTTATGCTATTGGCTCAACTTTATTGAAATTGTTTAAATTGCTTTAAAAAGTCAGTGTGGTGGGAGATTAAGGGAAAGATTGAAAAGAATTATAAGCTTTATCAAACCTTAAAACTTACATTAAAATTTGTTTTAATGTATTTGTATTTTTATTGATTTCAGAGAGGAAGGAAGAGGGAGAGGTAGAAATATTCATGATGAGAGAGAAACTTTGATCAACTGCCTCCTACACGGCCCCTACTGGGGCTCAAGCCCACAACCCGGGCATATGCCCTGACCGGGAATAATCAAATCATGACTTCCTGGTTCATAGGTTGAAGCTCAACCACTAAGCCACACCAACCAGGCCATAAATTATATTAAAATTATAAATATTTAAAAGTTTATAGATTGATTATTTTTATTTCACTGGGCTTCCTCTTGCAAGTCACTAACTACTTTTGTTAAATCGGTTTCATTTTGCTTTCATTGGTGTAGAATTATTGCTTATGCTACTAATACTTTTCTGGGATTTTTTTTTTCTATATCCATGGATTAATTTTAAATTAATATATGAAATAGGATTCAATGGCTTAATGCTTGTATCTAACTTTTTGTTGAGCCATTTATTGCATAATTGTTCTTAAAAATTAAAACGTTGATGGCAGGTTTTTTTTACGTCTTAATTTAATTCTAAGTTAACTGCTTCTGTGTGGTACATTTATATTTGGCAAATAAATGAGTTGGAAAATAGGCAATGATATGTTTATCTGCAAAGTAAGAGTGTTCGTAATGATCTGAGGATCATATTTTTGAAATTACGTGGCCTTTACAATGTCTCTTTCTTCGCACAGAATGAAGATGTTCGACCTCACATCAGAGACAGATTTCGCTTGCATGATTTGCTGCCCCCAGATTAAGTACAAAGACTTGTCAAATCATGAAGGGGGAGAGAATGCAGGACCCTTTTGGACTAAGACAAAACATTGCCATTACTGTTGAAATTTTGCATTTTTGTACCCCGTCTTGCTTTTCTTATCTTTGGTGCCCAATAATAATCAAGGGTTACAGAAAGAGACTTTATCTCAGATTGAATACATACAGTAGGTAGGCTAAAACAGAAGAGTCTTTAGAACTAGTGCAACTCCAGTGAAATTTTTTTATGTACAGGACATCTGCAGTTTATAAAGAATTCTGTTTCTGCCACCAGCAGTTTGACCTGTAGTCACACAGGATTTTATGATAATAACAGAGATGAAAATGGACTTTTTATTTTCTCTCTGTTTGGTGCTCTAAGTGGGTTTGTAGCCACTTTTCTGTTACTTTAAGATTCTCATTTCAACAGGAATGGCCAGTAAAAGTTGTTTTATTTTCCTGTTAAGGTTTATAACCTTTTTACATTTTTGACCTGTATTAGATTAGAATTTCATTATGCATTCCTTTTAGTTGAGGCGCTTCAGTTTTCTGGAAATAGTTTTTAGTTTTTTATTATATATTTGAATGGCCGTTTTCCTGCTTTGTCTGCCTGCATATTGTATATTTGTTTAAAAATATTCTCTACTTTTAGTCCATGTAAGTTTCATTTAGAAAGACATGCATTTATATTTTGTTTCTGTAATATTCTACTGTAGGTGAAATCTTTTCAAAAATCAAGAGACTGGGTAGGTAAGAATATATGAGTAATATTCAAATGATTTAAACCATTGTGATGGCATGTGTTTCCAAATGGTAATATCTTGCAGTGGCACACAGATTTAATGGATAAAGGTATACCTCAGACTTCACTGTGCTTACCAATCTTTGAGGAGAATGTGTTTGGTCACCTTTTGGGCTTGATTTGGTTACTGCTGCCTTTGGTTTCCTCCAGGAACGAAGTACTCAGCACAGTGATTCGGTATTTTTAATTATTTTGCATGGGCTGGTAGTACCTCTGTTATGCTCTCGGTTACAATCAATTTAAAACTCTGTGTAACAGTTTTGGTACCTTACAGTAGCTATGCAGAATCCTGTGGCACAGTCAACTCCCAAGCCACCAATGCAGTTAATATGCTCTCATAGTGGGTTTTCTATACTATATGAAAATAGTCTTCAAGCCTTGGTTCTCTAATGCAGCTACCACAAGAGGTTGATATTTTTATAGTGGCGTGTAATCTTCTTTTCGGGAGGCTTTTTATGGAAGGTAGAATTTGTAAGGTTAGTATGCTTTGCCTCTCAACTGCATTAACATGCCACAGGCTCAGACTGTTTTTGTGTAAAGGATGTCAAAGAACGGCACTTTTTCTAAAGAGAAGTTTGATATTTTGTATGCTTGTTAAGAAAGTACAGTATTGGAAATTAAAGGTGGACAACTGATAATTGAGGAGTATGTCACTTAATTTTTTATGTATATTACCTGTTTACTTGTACAACTTACTGTACAAATTACATGCAGCTTCATTTTCAAATCCTTAAAATAAGGAAATCTTTTTAGGAAAACATTTAATTTTTGTATTTTTGATTTTAAAGGCATGAGTTATGTCAATTTTCAGTGTATTAATGAAAATTTTAACTTTTCATCAGGTTGAGTGTTTTCTTACTATATTATCTGTTGTGTATGTAGTTAGCATATTGTGTCACTGAACTGTTTAAAAATCTAGCATGTAGAGCAAGCCTGTTTTGTGGAAAATCCTTATTCATTAAATAATCATGGCAGGTTTTCTGCAAAAAAGAGCAGAAGCATTCGCAATTCAGAATACTGGTTTTTTTGTTTCGTTTTTGTTTTAATTTAAAGAAAGGTATTTTGCTTGCAGGAAAAAATACTACAGATTCATTTTAATGAGAATCTTTGAGATGTATTTATCTTTAGGGCATCTGGGCATCTTTATGCTGTTTGTCTTCTGTCTTTCTTGAAATAAAATGTACATACGTTACCTTTACATATGCTCTTGCTCAAAATTGTGAACCTAGTTACATTTCTCCTTGCTCCCTTTTTATGCTCAAACAGCAAAATCCAAACTTATACAAGATCTAATCTTTCAGCATGCATTATAATTGCTGAAAGCTTTTCTGATTAAGTAAATACAGTCTCAAAGGGCTTTCCCATAACTTAAAGGGAAATGTAAGCACCTATACCACTGTGCCTGTGGGCACTTTAAATGAACACCCACTTTAATCATCTTGTTTTAATAGTAAAGCTGTTTTCAGTCCCGTGCTAGGGAGAGTTCCCTAAAATAGACTGACAAATGAATCAAGCATAACAAGATTCTGTAAAGAAATAAACTAAGGGAAATTTTGTGTGGCCTGAGAAAATTTCTTGAGACCAATTTATATATATATTTTTCATTACCTGACTTGAGTCATTTTAAATTTAATACAGAATTTTAAATAATTTATAGAGACAACTATCCAGCTTCCTTCCACGTTAATGTTTTATTGTCTCATTACCCCTTTTCTTTATCTGTTTATAGATGTTATCTTAAACACTTCCAATTGGTTAAAGCGGAGGTGTATATTTTATGAACCTGAGATGTGCCCAGCCCCTACAGTTCACACAGTAAACACAAACTCTTAAAAACTGACTATAGCAAATGCAGGAGAGATGGCTACCTGTAAAGACACAGCAAAAGTGACCTATATACACATTACAACTCTGAAGTACATATTATAATTGTGATATTTCCAGTGATAAATGTCTGACTTTTAAGACATTCTTTTAAATATTTGTATTATTGTTAGAATGTTTTAATCAGTTATGTTTTTTAATTCCATGTAATATATGTAGCCCTAATAAGATTTATATCACCAAATTTCTCCTTGGGTTTTAAAAGAATAACAATTTAAAATCATAAATTGTTTTATATTAGCTAGTATGTATATTTATTTACCCAATGGCTTTATCTTGTTTCCCAAAATTTGGGGAGAATTTGTTGAAAGCATTGTGACTTCTATAAATGGCTATTTTCTTGTAACTGTCCGTGAAAATGTATGTGTACTTTTTTTTTTTTTTCATTTCTCTGGTTTTTCTGTTTTGTTTTTAGGGTTAAACATAGAATGTTTTTTGGTTTTTTTTAAGTTCTCTTTGGCCAATGACTTTTTCAGCTAGATAATTACTTTCGTTCAACGTTCTAAAGAAGTTCATTTTTCATTGTTTTGTTCAGTCAACTTACCTGAAAAACAGAGACTTCATCTCATCAATGAAGAAAGTATTTCATTATTCCTACAAATCTTTACAGCGAGCACAGAATTCTTCATAATAAGGACCAGATCTTTCCCACATCTGTGTCAATCACATAAAGCTGAAACGTAAAGGACACTGAAGCCTTCATTTATTGTACTAACATGGTGGTGTTATATACTACATTATTAGCTAGTTAAGGTTTTCTGACCTAATTTCTCTGTCTTCCTAGATATTTATTTGTTATCTCTTTTAATCTTGTGTATCTAAAATTAACTTAGTTAATAGTTACCCATCAAATAACTATGCCAAGCAACTAGGAAAGAATGTTTATTTTATTTCCCCTTATAGGGGAAGAGTGGACTGGGAACAAAAATGTATGGGCCAAAAGGCCTTAGGTTGTCATTCATTCACTTTCTTATTCCTCTCATGACCTATGTTCAAGTATAGTATTTTTTCAGTGTTGATGTGCTTGATTATGTCATTACTTTTCATGTCTTCCCCTGAGTTGAAAGCCTGCTAGGAACCTGTATGGAATACATTTTTAAATATTCAGAATAAGAACCACAAAACTCAGTATCTTATATTTAAATGCTCCTTAAATTATTGGAATCCAAATCTCACTCACTAGGATACATTTTTATAAAATGTTTCTCTGTATCTTGAATTGAAATTACTTGCCCAGAGGCAAGAGTTCTTGGGATAATGTGTTTTGAGAAATTTTTTAAAAGGGGATAAGAAAGCAACAAGTTTATACTTTGTGGTTTTGATATTAGTTAGTATTTTAAAATTCATTAGTAGTTCCCAAACCTGACTGTTCAATTAGAATTACTCTGACCTTTGGAAATAGATTCCTGAGGCGTAACCCCTGCAAAATTGTCTCATTGAGTCTATAGTGGGGCCTGAGAGTTCTGTATTTCTTTTTTAAGCCCTCCAAGTGATTCTAATAACCAGGTTTGGGAAATCACTGTTTTAAATGTGACAGTGGTTTGAGAGTAGGCAACAAAATAAAAGTTTACCGGACATCTTTGTGGTAGTTTTTCTTTTTTCTTTTATTTTAAACTGGGACCAGATTTCACAGAACTTATTCAAGATACAAGGAGGAATAATAAAGAAGATGGAAGCTACTGCTCATTATTCTTTCATACTTTTAAGAGTTTGCATACCTAGCACTTGGAATAGTTGATCATATACACAGCTGAAGGACATATCCCTGAATGAGACCATTATATATAAATTGTAAAATATTTCACTATTTTTTTATTTTATAAATCTTTGTAGAAATAAGCAATGAAATACTACTTTCATCTTTTGAAATGGGATTTTTCAAGGCATTGTCCTTTCGGCATTAAGGTAGGGGGGAAGTTAATATTCTCTCTGCTTTTTTCCATGTGAATCAATATGAAGTCATGGACATTTAAAAATCTCAGTTCAATTTCTACATATTTACTATGCAGTATAGCCATGAACAAGCAATGTAGATTTAGTTTTCTCATCTTCAAATGCCCTGGTCACCCTACCTCACAGGGTTGTTGTGGGGATAAAATAAAACTTTTATGGAAACACTTTTTTTTGATGATATTTTATCAGCCATTAGAAACACTAATATCTAACAACTTATTTGCACAGTGCTCTTTCGGTTTACAAGTACACAATTTTTTCATATTTATTTCCCTTTTGATGCTCTACAGGACAGACCTGTAAGGAATACAGAGCAGGTTAGAGATACGGTAACTGAGGCTCACAGGATTGTGACCCAAGACCTCATAACTGTTATGGGAGATTCAAGTATCACTGCAATATGCTAGCTCCCTAGGCCTTGGCATTCTTGTATAAGCATGTCACATAAATACAAAGTGTTCTCAAGTTTATAAATCAATTTATCCAACAAAATTCTTATAAGGGAAGGTAATTCAGTGTAAAAGTTGTTACAAACTAACTAGAATGAAATTCCAACTTTCTAACATGCCTCTTTTATCCTATCTAATAAAGAGAGGATATGCAAATTGACCATCACATCATAACAAGATGGCTGCACCCACAGCAGAGGCAGGAATTCCGTAACACAAGACGGATGTGCCCACAGTGGAGGCCGAGTTACCGTAACAAGCAATCAGCAGGGACCTGACGCTGCGCTCCCCACCCAGCGGGCCTTGATGGGGGAGGGACCAGCCAGGTCTGGGTCTCGGGCGATTTTGAGGCACACGTGGGTGGGTGTGCGGAGACGACTCTGGTTCCCATGGTGTGTCCCAGACTCTGACAGGAGGAAGATTTATCTCTTGACACAGGAAAAGGGCAAACGGCAGTATTAAAATATTTACTCTAATTCCCTTTTGTGCACAAATTTTGTGCACTGGGTCACTAGTTTTACACTTAAGGAAATATGTCTAGAAGAGTGTCTTCCCAGGATCACAGAGTTGGGATTAGAATCTAGGTCTCAACTGCTACTACTTAATGGAATGGCATTCTTAATTTCTTGTGCTGTATTTACTGTAGAAAATAAAACCTGTATAAAGAAGGTGTTGATTTTAAAAAGTAGAGATAAGATGGCAAGGAAGAACCAGACTATGGTAAGCTAAAAAGAAGTGAATGCTTGATGTAATGGGCTAAATAATGAGCTAATGTAGCTGCAAAATAACACTCTGGTCCCACCTCCTATCTGATGGGATATTTTTCTTCAGCTTTATTAAATAAAAATGACATAACGATGTAAGTTTAAGGTATAAAATATGAGTTGATGTACGGAGACATATTGAAATGCTTACCAGTTTAGTTAACACATCCTTCACCTCATGTGATTACCTTTTTTTGTTGTTATGCTGAGAACATTAAAAATCTCTAGTAGTGCCCTAACCGGTTTGGCTCAGTGGATAGAGCATCGGCCGGCGGACTCAAGGGTCCCGGGTTCGATTCTGGTCAAGGGCATGTACCTTGGTTGTGGGCACATCCCCAGTGGGGAGTCTGTAGGAGGCAGCTGATCGATGTTTCTAACTCTCTATGCCTCTCCCTTCCTCTCTGTAAAAAGTCAATAAAACATATTAACATATTGTATGCGGGAAACGTATTTATACGTTTTACGTTGACTGGTAGTAGAGTGCAGGACATGTATTAATATGTTTTTTATAGACTAGCGGTAGAATGCGGGTAACGTATAAATACGTAAACTAAAGTTATCGTAATTTTACTGAACATTGCCATTTGCGCAAAAAAATTAGCAAAAATGGCCCACGCCACCTGTGAGCGCGTGATAAAAACTACCCGCAAACAATGGGTTAAAAAAAAAAACAACTAAGTGTCCGCCCGTGTTGGCTCAGTGGATGAGTGTTGACCCATCAGTTAGGAGGTCGTCACAGTTCTATTGCTGGTCAAGACACATAACTGGGTTGTGGGCTTGATCTGTAATAGGGGGCAGCTGATTGATTATTTTCATCATTGATGTTTTTTATCCTCCCTCTCTAAAATAAAAAACATTTAAAAATAAAACCTAGTAGCAGCTTTAAAGTATATGATAAAGTATTGTTAACTATAGTCACCATGCTGTACATTAGACCCCCAGAACATTAGATCCTCATACAACTGAAGTCTAACGTTTGACCAGCATATCATTTACCCCACACCCAAGCCCCCTGGCTATGATGAAACTTATAAAACAATTTTCCATAAGCTCAAAGGAGTTTAACAGACAGGTTTGAGCGTCACTGCAGTAGGCCTTTGGAAATAACCCACTTGAGAGAGCAGCTGTTCCTCAGTTTATTCATCTGTAAAATGGGTGTGTCAAGATCTACCTCTCAGAATTACAAAGATGAAACCTGTAAAGCAATATACAAATAATTGCCAGAATGGACATGTTTAAAGGAGCTAGTTCTCTTGAGTATATGTGATAGATAACACTGATTCCACTGCCCATTTCTGCCCCTAACTTGGGGGCAGAAATGGACACTTGAATCAGTATTGCCACATGTCAGGGAGAAGAAAGAAAAGACATGAGCAGTAGAGAGCATTCAATGAAGACTGGATAATGATAATAGAGAGGTCACCTATAACTTAATATGTTTTTATGAAAACATGCTGAGTGTTCAGGAAGAAGTGGGTGATGAGGAAATTAAAGAGAGTATTGACTGGCTTGAGAAGTCTGGTAAGTAATTGGGGTAGCAGGCTTATATGATTTGCTAAGTTAGAAGTCTTAATGGATGAACCAAATTAGAGCTTTAGATTTGAAGTATGACAATATTTATTGAGGGTAGGTATAAGTAGCTTTCCTATTCAGAGTAAAAATCATTTTAAAACACTGCCTTACTATGTGTTAGACACTGCAAATGGCAGAAAAAGCAAACCTGACACTGCCCTCAAGCTTACGTCTAGCAGTGGAGACTGGGTGTTGTGGGGGAAAGGGTCATGAAAGAAAAATAGTTTTGAGGGACTAACATTCTAGTCTGGAAGTCAGGCTTGGGTTGGCTGAAGTATTAAGATGAGAACTGTAAAGGGGATGTATAATACTTTTAACAATAGTTTAAAAAAGAGAACTGTAGTCCTGGCTGGTGTGCTCAGTGGTTAGAGTTGGCCCATGCACCAAAGGTCATGGGTTCAATTTCTGGTCAAGGGCATGTATCTGGGTTGCACGTTTTATCCTAGGTCCTGATTGGGGCATTTGGTAGGTAACCAATCCATGTGTCTCACATGGGTCTTTGCCTCTCCCTCCCTTTCACTCTCTAAAAAAATTGAAAAAATATCGTCTGGTGAAGATTAACAACAACAAAAGATGAGAACTGTAGAATATTGAAAAATATGTAAAACCAGGTTTGGTTGAGGGGCAAGAGGTAAAATCAAGCAAGGGAATTAATGATCAGATTTGTCTTAAAAGACCACTTTGGCTGCTGCCTAGGCCAGTGGTCGGCAAACTCATTAGTCAACAGAGCCAAATATCAACAGTACAACAATTGAAATTACTTTTGAGAGCCAATTTTTTTAAACTTAAACTCTATAGGTAGATACATTGTTATTAACTTAATTAGGGTACTCCTAAGGCTTAGGAAGAGCCACACTCAAGGGGCCAAAGAGCCACATGTGGCTCGCGAGCCACAGTTTGCTGCCCACGGGCCTAGGCAATAGAGTAGGTGGATAGGAGGCCAGTTAAAAGATGTAGCAGTTGACCTAATTCACACAAATGCATTCCTTTTCCAAGACAACAAAAGGCTAATGCATTGGGCGCTAGCATCATAATGGACAGTTTGAGGTCAGGAGAAGGTTGAAGTCCTAAGGAGAGCATGGCTTGTCTGGTTGACTGGCAGGAATAGGAAGGTACTTTGGGGTTTTATGGCACTGTATAAAAATAAGTATGGAATAATGTGTAGGAGTTTAATGGACACACATGCTGGCATTTCATATCTTGAAAGATTCTTGGGTAAACTTTTGGGGGAAGCTGGTTTAAAATGGAAAAAGTCGCCGAAACCGGTTTGGCTCAGTGGATAGAGCGTTGGCCTGGGGACTGAAGGGTCCCGGGTTCGATTCCGGTCAAGGGCATGTACCTGGGTTCCGGGCATATCCCCAGTGGGGGATGTGCAGGAGGCAGCTGATCGATGTTTCTCTCTCATCGATGTTTCTAACTCTCTATCTCTCTCCCTTCCTCTCTGTAAAAAATCAATAAAAATATATTTAAAAAAAAAATAAAAAATAAAAATAAAATGGAAAAAGTCATTCAATTACATAGTTTTCCAAATAATAAATCTTCTCACATATGTAATGACTCAGTGATTTGGGTATTTTATAAATGAGTTTAACCTGTTTCTATTTGCAATTAAAACCTCTTCTGCCTTATTTCATCTTTATGAGATTTTTAGTGTGGTGCTTAAAGCACTTCTCTTAAAAAGGAGCCATGAGCAGTTCTGCTTCATTTCTGTTGCCATTTACCATCGTATGGCTTTAATGATGAAATTCTTAAAGGCAGAGTCAACATACACTGTTCAACTACTCTGCTTATCTGTAAAATGAGAATATGGTCATGTACGATTATAGGGCTCACCTAGAGACTAACACGAATCACATTTCATTTTTTGTTTTTTAATATTTTTTAGTGGATTCTTTTTTTTAGAGAGAGAAACATCAATATGAGATTGAAACATCCCAATGGGGGATAGAGCCCGCAACCCGGGGATGTGCACTGACTAGGAATCAAACTGGCAATCTTCTAGTGAATGGGTGGACACCTAATTAACTGAGTCGCAACGGCGAGGGCCACACATTAGTTTTAAAGACTAAATGAAGTCCCCAGCACACAGATCTAGACAACTGTTTCCCTGATTCCTCATTTCAGAAAATAGCATGTACCATACTGTGAATAAATTCTCAATTTCTGCTTCAAAAATTTATCCGTGCTCCATACACATAGCCCATGTATTTTTCCATAGCACCTCCAACCCCTACACCTCATTTTCAATTACACGTGCTTTAATTCCTTAAAGTTAATATCCCAAGAACGTAGAATAGTACTAGGTAGAGGGTAGGCACTATTTATCTGTTGAATGAGTAAGTGAATATGTTCTCATTTCAAAGTTTGGATTTCTATTTAT